ACGGCTGCTTGTCGAAGCAGCCGGGCCGAGGTTCTTATATTCTCCATAGTACAAGGTGCTTAGTGCAAAATTACCATCCCATTCTAGCCAACCAGCCGGATCAATTAGCGTATCAAGGTAAGTTTGCAGAAATACGGTACGCGAGTATTGTTTCCATGGTCGTCCCAAGTATGATTTGAACGAGCTAAGCACCGGTTGTAGATCAAGCGAGGCCATGACCCTTGAATTGTGGATTGAGATCCCTGTGTTTTGATTCGGGTCTGCCCGACCTTGGGCCGTGATCACGTTCTTTTGGCCACTCATAGGCCTTCGCGCATAGATCATGCAATTCTGGAGAACCACGGCTGCGTTTCCAAAGATAAAGTCGACGGTGCCGTAAATGTAGCATTCTTTGTAGAACTGGCGTTCGGAGTGGACGTAGAGAGTGTCTTGGTACCCCTCGAATCCACAGTGATAGAAAACAGAGAGGTCGGATCCAGATCGGAGAGCCACGGCTTGGTGGTTTTGCGGACCGGCAGTGTTTCGGAATGTGATTCCCCGTGCAATGAATCCATCACCCGTTACAGCTACAATTCCAAAACAAGTAAGTATCAAATTGGGCGTGAATAAATTATCTTTGCACTTGCTGGTCAATGTATGCTTTATTTTTTGAACTTTTGGCATATATATACAAAGCAGAGAATGAAACTAAATCACACATAATGCAGCAGAGATGAACTCATCCGATATTAATACGCACTCAAAACTTAACGCAACCGATTTATCTTGTCCACACTAATTAACTTTGTCGACCATTGATGAAGAATAGCAGATCATGCAAAAACCTATTTTACTGCTGTGATATGGGAGTGATCCGTTCATTACTCACCGACGGTGGCTGAGTTGAAGGTGGTGGAGCCACCGCCGACACTCCGGCTGCCGGTGATAATGGTATATCTCAGTCCATCACCGACCATCATTATATTATCGTGCCCACTTCCTATTTCAAGATTCTCCTGATAAACCCCTCTCTTCAGGTAGATCACGAACCTCTTGCTTCCGCTCCTTTTTGCCGCCACGTCAAGCGCCTGCTTAATTGTCCGAAAATTCCCTGAGCCGTCCTGAGCCACCGTGACGTCTGGGGTTGGGGAAGCCAACTGCAGGAGTCGCCTATCGCCAGCAGTGACCCAATTGGGAAACTCTTGCCCATCATTTTGTGTAGCGCCTTGTGTGACCGAGGTGGAGGCATTATTTTTGCTCAAGGCCAAAGCGTTGCTTATGAGCTTGGTGACATTGCTGTTGTCCATGAGCTGGAACACGTAGTCCGTGACGCCGAGCTCGGCGAACCCAGTCCGACAGGTGTCGAGGTTCGTCAGCGCGGCGCTGACCCAGGTCTGCCGGTCCGAATCACTGCAGTCGCCGGCGGTGCGGTTGAGGCGGTGGATGGTCTCCTGATAGAGCTTCAAGCAGTCGTCCCACGCGGCCCGTTCCTTGTGGTTGCGGCATTTCGGGCCAAGCCACTTGTTGTGGCTCTGGGCCTGTAGAGCCTTGTCCATGGCCATCTCGATGGCCATCTGCCCGAGCTCGGACACGCGCTCCGGCACGAAGCGTCGCGGACCATTTTGCATGAAGTACTTGCACTGTTCCGGGTAAGGAGTCTTGTTGCACCAACTCGTGGAAACAATGGCCAAGCCGGAGGAGATGAATGAGAAGAAGAAAATCGAAAATAACGCCAGCGCGAGCTTCGTCGCAGACATTGACGAGCTGGTTGTGATTCTTGGAAGCTCAATGTGATTTTTGTGACGTTTGTTGTTGCAGCAGAGAGGCTTCTTTATATAGTGCAAAGAAAGATTGGGGAAGACGACAAGATAAAGAGAGTAGTGATTGACGGATTGGCGTAAAGACCGAACACCGAACACGGCTCTGGGTTGGAAAATAGAATGCCTGCTGGATCTAAACATTTGACCAAAACTTCATCGACCGTTCTGTATTTTAAATGCGTTTCTGATTGTATGTCAATAATTTTATGATGATGATAAGGGTTTCAGTCACATCCATAAGATGTGAACAGGGACGGGGGTGGAGGAGGGATAATGTTTTCCAGTAGAAAATGGCCTTGTTTGACAAGATTCTATCATCGACGCGCAGGCTGCAAGATTAGCGGAAGAATAGTCGGGACGGTCTGCATGTCCGTACCTTTAATAATGTCCGGATCGCTCCACAAAGGACAAAGAAATCTCATACTTGCATAAAAAAAAAACACTTGAAAAATTAGATGGATAAGTAGAATATGAAATTATGTTCTGTGTCTCTTACGGATTAATAAAAAGTACTATTATTATTAGCGATAAATGCATAGATATAAATGTTTGTTGGTGATGTAAACATTTTTATGGACTCAATTTTTTAAGCGATTTATTCAAATCATTAATTTTCCATGAAACGAGCGTACACTTATTAAATAATCTTTTAACAAGTGAGAAGTATGAATCTAATGAAATAGTGGATGGGAGAGAGATTATATCATTCTCATTCTAATTTGGTGAATTGGCATTAAAGAAGCATTAGGTTACACAAACGGTGTTAGGTGTTAGGATATCGATGCTTATACGCACCTTAAACCTACTTAAGATTCGACATGTTATCTTCGTATCTTCATGTGTGCACGTGCCATTTATCTATCATCGCTCGTGGAAATTGTTCGATTCATTGGATAGGGAACACAGTCAAAACTCTAGATAAATAAAGTCTTTGTCTGACCTTTTAAGTGAATATGACATTAAGCTTGCATCCTTTGCAAATTGTAAACGCTCAAAATGCAAGAATAGGGTCGTCTAACATTTTTAACATAAGACCCTCATCAATGTTATCAATTTTATGTACTTGATAACCGGTTGCACAGCCCATTTTTTTTTAATCATGGAAGTACATGTGCCCACTATTTAAACCTAGTAAACCTCTTTGGTTTACGCAGGCACATGTCTCCAAAACCCACTTGTTTCTTGCTCTCGTACCTTTTATAAGTACTATGACTTATATAATTGCGCATATTAGACAGTACCGTGCTAATCAAGCCACATTAATTGAAAGATTAGGGAGATTGTTTCAAGCATCGAGAGCCACATGCCAGCTGCGAAAGGGCAAATCACAGAAGGATCGATCCGCGATGCATGTGCCCTCGTTTGACTTTTCCACGTGGTTGACTTTGGACTTTCTAGCGGCGCCTACGCGTCATGGCCCTTTGATCATGAAGGAACGTGCGGCGAAATTCTAAGTATTCCCTCCAATCAACGGTCCGCGTCGAGCTATCATTCTTCATATTTTTTTCTTTGTTGTTGACAAATTTACAATTATTGACGCAGCGATGTTTCTACGAGATCTTGAAGGATGGATCTGGATTTTCCACTTATGGAAAATGCATTTATGTGAAGAGAACGTATATAGATCAGTGGCAGTTGGTTCGATGATTAAAAAAACAAAACAAAACAAGATCAGATGCCGTTGGTAGTAATCAATCATACAATTCAACGATGCTATGGAGTTGTGGTCAGAAAAATAATGCATGCTTGCATGGGAACTTTAGAATCAGAAAGATAAGTTAAACTAAGGCTCCGCTCGTTTTGCAAAAAATGTGATGTTTCTGGAAAATGATGATAGTTTTGGGTGTTTGGCTGAGATCTAAAAATGAACTGGAAAATATTTTCCGTCGTTTGGTATGGATAATCTGATTTGATTTTCCTCTTTGCACTCCTTTAAATAATTGATTTATTTAAAAAAAATCGAATTTTTAATTATTTTTTACATTTCTTTTCTTTTCTTTTTTTCTTCTTTTTTTTTTTTGTTTTTATTTCTTCCTCTGCCGATCGCCGGCCACAGGTCAGCCTTGCCAGCCTTGCTCGCCCAAGGCCGACGAGCTCTTGCCTCGCCAGATTTGGCGAGGCAAGGCTACTCTTGCCCTCACCCGAGGCCGGCGAGCTTGAGGTCTGTGAGGCCGAGCCTTGCCTAAGTATCGTCGCCTCCTCTTTCCACCAAACAAGTTTGACATTGAAGAAAAACAATGGAGACTATCGATTAGTTAAATATGTAGGTATGTTACTAAAATATATGTGTAAACCTGCATATATTTTCTGCAGAGAAACCATAGCTAGAGTCCTTGAGACCGAAAACTAGCTAGCCACATCTAAAGGGTCCTTATTACAGTACACCGGGAAGAAATGATAGATGAAGCGAGAGATAGCACGATGGTATGTATGTACTATGGGCGGATCCAACGCTCAAAAGTCATCAACTAAGAAACTCAAGATAATGCTGTTTGGATTTGGTGTTTACCGTACTTGAATTGATGATTTTGGACCAGCTACCTCTAAATTGACAAATATGAACTCGATCTTACTAAAGAAAAAAAAATTGTTGTCAAAAGTTTATATCACGTGACATACTAACATGATATCACCTTCGATAAAGTTTTCTTGTTTAGTGCATCTTGGACGAAGAGCGATGCACCCATTTGACAAAGTTAGACGCACGCAACTTAAGAACGAGAGAATATTGTGGGTTTGATTGATAGCTTATGTATTTGTGGATGAGACGTGATATATGGTATGTGGAGCTCATTCGTATTATTGCTGTTACGCTGAATGGGCCTTGTGGCCGACCCAAGCACGTGTAGAATATTTGTCGTTTTCTTGCAAATAGTTCGTGTTCTTCCTTTGGGCCAAAAAAGGAAAGAATGCTTCTCCTTCCACACCTCAGGCCTCACGTCCATTTGCCATTGGTCACTATATCTCCATTGCTTTAAAAACGCCTAGAAAAAATAGACTATATTAATAGTCATGGACCCGCATAACTCACGATGGAGATGATACTTGTCCGTATAGACTATAGACCATGCAATAACTTCTATACCAACATTTATCTTAAACAACCAGCAAAAATCTATTAGCAACATTAATCGCCCCAAAAGTTCATTATTTTACATGTACAATAATGAATACATAAATGAATATTGCTGTTCTCGAAATCAAAAAGATAACCATAGAGAAGAATTATTGTTTAGATTAAGTTCACAATGAGCGAGATTATCAAAGACCTGGAGTAAAAGGTATGCCAGTTGCTGGTAACCACGATTGGCCGGCAATGAGGCGGCTCACGGTGAACTGAGACGCTACATTCGCGCTTGTTATGACATGATAACCTGGCCACCTTACCCTATATCTCGTGGAAGATGCGGGTCCAAAGTTCTGGTACTCTCCGTAATACAGTGTACTTTGTGCAAAATTAGAACCGTCCCACGAGGACCAACCCACCGGGCTCACCAAAGACCCCAAGTAGGTTTTTAGGAATATGGTCCGAGAGTATAGCTGCCACGGTCTTCCCAAGTATGTTTTGAACGCCTGAAGTACTGGAAGAAGGTCCGGTGCGGCCATAACCCGTGAATTCTGGATCACAATGCCCGTGTTCTGGTACGGGTCATTTCGGCCCTGAGCGGTGATAATGTTTGCTTGGCCCTTCAATGGCCTCCGAGCATAGATCATGCAGTTCTGGAATACGACCGCTGCATTCCCGAATATGAAGTCTATGGTGCCATAGATGTAGCATTGTCGATAGAACTGTCGTTGAGAGAGGACGAAGAGCGTGTCTTGGTATCCTTGGATGGCACAACGGTAGAAAACAGCGAGATCTGAGGTCGATCGGAGCGCCACAGCCTGTCCCCTTAGCGGGCCTGCGGTGTTGCTAAATGTGATGTCGCGGGCAATGAAGCTTAGGCCATCTATTCCTGAGAGACACGTTCGAAAACATGGACACATAATTAAATTGTTTCCCTTATCTTAAGAACATTAATCTATGAAACCAGAGATGATTGTGTGAAATATTTGACAAGATTCTAATCCAAGGAACATGTACTTTGCGTAGGTCAGAGGGGACTAGCTATCTTACTCGATCGATGTCCATATATCGCAGGAGATCACTTAATTTTCAAGTTTCTAGTCAAACCGCAACGAAGTTCACGAGTTTAGCTTTCGTCATTCATGACAACAACGATTGAATGCCACAAAGTTACCACAAACAAAAAAATTTAATGCATACGTACCGGCTGTCGCAGAGCTGTAGGTGGTGAAACCCCCACCAACGCTCCTACTACTCGTAATAATGGTATTTCTCATACTATCACCCACCAGCATAATATTATTGTTGTTGATCCCAACCTCTATGTTCTCTCTGTAAACCCCTTTCTTCACGTAAATTATGAACCTCGAGCTCATTGACGTCCGCTTCGCCGCTGCGTCGATCGCCGCTTGGACCGTTCGGAAGTTCCCCGAGCCATCCTTAGCCACCACAAGGTTTGCCCTCACGGCCAGCGATGTCGACTGAAGCAGCTTCCTCTCGTGGTTGGTGACCCAGCTTGGGAACTCCTGGTACTCGGTCTCGGGCTGCTCCGATCCGAGCAATCCCCCGTTGACGGCCAAGCTATTGCTAAGGAGCTGCGACAGGTTGGCAGACGAGGTGGGAATCATGATGGAGTCCGAGACGTTCAGATCCTGCAACCCGAGCCGGCAGGCCTCAATGTTGGTGAGGGCGGCACTGAGCCAGGTCTGGATATCGAAGTCGGTGCAGGTCCGGTTCAACCCAAGGAGGCCCTGGACGGACCGGTTCAGCTGGAGGAGGGTGTTGTCGTAGAGCTTCAGGCAGTCCACCCAGACAGTACGTTGGTGGTGGTTCGCCAAATCAGACCGGAGATGGAGGACTTGCTGGTAAGCCTCGAGGGCGCGTTGCATGGCCACGTCGACGGCTATTTTACGAAAACCGGATCTTTGCATGGACGTGTTGGAGTGGCTGTCGCCTGCGTTACTCATGAAGTACTTACATGGTCGAGGATGTGGGGTTGTATCGCACCACCAGTCTATGTCGCCGGTGGTGGCATTATTATTGTTATCCTCCGGCGGTTGAGAGCATGAAGCGGTGAATGGTGTTGAAGCAAAGAAGACGAAGATGAGAGCAGGGAGATGGGTCGCACGAATAAGTCCCATGTCTTGTGTGTATACTGTGTTTTTCTTTTTGGATTTGATTAGATCGAGAGAGATGTGCTAAAAATAAAAAGAGGGTCGTCATTTTGGTGGAGGAGGTTTCTTTAAGTAGGGTTTGAGGACGAAAGTATGAGTGGGATTATGATAGGCCGGCTTGTTTGACAAAACATGGAGCATGACACGGTTAATAAGTTGCGATTGCAAGATAAACTCAAGAGATCAATCGCCCGTGATGTCTTCCTTGACTTGGCTACGTTGTGCGTGTGCGGGTGACACATTAACCTGTTGCTTCAGTCATAGCCAATTGAGAGAGAGAGATAGATACATGCAGATATACTCTAATTATACATAGAATATCAGAAAACGTATCTTTATTTACTATAGTCCAATATCAATCAAGTTCATACCGCTTAGGGGAGAGCCTATAGATAATGATTAATAGATTCTTCTTTTTTTGATAATCACGAAAGGTTATATAGCTAGTCATGATCATTACGATTTGGCTTATGATAAAGTCGGGCATAAATCATTTATTCTGCAGGTTCCTTAATCACAGTATTAGTTCCACTATCTTCATAATTTGGTGAATGGACTGGGAGATCTTTGTTATATTTGGGGAAAATGACAGAAATGGTCATTGAATTTTGGCTCGATGTGCAATGTTATTCCTGAACTTTCAATTTGTTCAATGTGGTATCTGAACTTTGATCCAATGTGTAATGTAATACTTGAACTTTTAATATGTTCAATGTGGTTCTTGGACTTTTGGTACATGTTTAATAGTTCATGCACTTTATGAAAACGTTCTACATTGTTCATGAACTTGAATTAATGAAAGGACAATATTGAACATTTTCATATAGTTCATGGATTAAATTGAACGAGTACCAAAAGTCTAGAGATCATATTAAACAAATTAAAAGTTCAGGAACCATATTGCACATTAGGGTAGAGTTCAAGGACCACATTGAACAAATTAAAAGTTCGGGAATCACATTGCATATTGAGCCACAATTCAAGGACTATTTGTGTCATTATCCCTTTATATTAGTGATGATACTTCCCTTCAAGCGTGAAATGTCGATGCACAACACAATCGGTCAAGATCAGAATATGGGACGGCAAGGAGAGGTGATGCAGAAAGTAATCTTTGCCCAGATATATAGCTTGAGCTTGAAGCTGCCGCGTACACGACACATATACCGACCATTAAATATCCTTTTCTTGGGCGAGAAATGCAGAGATAATAACATACAATGCAAGCAAAATCCAAAAATTTCAATGCATTGCTGGCGGCGTCGCCTTTTATTTGACCTCAAGTAACATGTTCCGTACATCAGCAATGGTCCGAGTGAATCTGCATCGAAATGTAAAGATGAAATGAGTTTAGAGTAGGATTAGTGCTGAAGCATGTGATAGATTATGCGGGGAACTAAGCAACAGCACCTTGAAAGGAAGAGGTCCATTCTCAATTCTGTCAACCCCAAAACAAAGAGCTGTGTGACCCATCAGCCCCGACTCCTTCGGGATCCCATGTGACCCGTATTTTGCATGTTACGCAAACCGATCCTCCACATCGTTCCATGATGGAGCTCCAACGAAAATTACTAACTACAAGAATGACCCACGACACAACTCATTGAGCTGACTTTCACTAAGTTCTTAGATTCAATTCAATCCCGAATTTGAGCTTTGCTTTAAGAAAATTATTACTCGCTTCGATAGAGTCGATCAGAGATATCAAAAACATGGATTTTTCCCTTAGTACAATGGTTAGCATCTAAAAATGGCCAAAAATAGGTATTGACCATTAGGGGTGAGCAGACCTATAACCTACACATCGATACAGGTTTCCTATTTTTTGGACCTGGAACCTACTCTATCACAGGTTCTAGGGTCGGTCTAGGATCTACTTGGGAACCTGCCAATTTCCCGTTTTTGTATTATTTTTAGTTAAGCAAAATAAAAGTGAACGTAACAACAAACATAAAAATTTCTACTTTGCCAATAGCAACAAACCATAAAAGATGAACACGTCAAGTAAAATAAACAATTAAAAGTTCAAAACACGTAACATAAAATCTAAATTATTGAACTGCAGTCCTCAATCATCTATGAAAAATTGCTCCAAAGTCTAACCACAGGATATCAAAAGAAACAGCAATAATAGTTAATCACTTAATAATAGTTTTAAATTAAAATTACTATTAATTAAACAAAAATAATTATTGAAAATCTTCACCACATATATTCATCCCACTTCAAATCATAAACTTTATTTACGAAGATAATCTCCTCATAAGACAATCCATATCTAAAAAAAAAAGAAAAGATTAAATAAAAAATTCACACATTAGATATAAAAGGAACTACAATATAAAAATATATAAACATCACTTACCCAACTCAAACTTTTAGAATGTTAAATATTTCATTTAGCCATCTTCGAGGTCAAATTCAGGTTATCAACAAGAAAGTATTATTGAGATATGCATTTTATCTCTATACGTAACAGTTAAAAATGTAAGGAGCATAGCCCCTAATAAGTATATCGCTTTACTATTTTTACGAAGCTACTTTGGCGAAAAACAGAGAGGAAAGGACAATGAGGCAGCATCGTCCATGTCAATCAGTCGTGTGTAAACCGGACATCCGCAGCTACGTGATTTCATCCGTTCCAATAAAGAAAGGAGTGCCCCGTTGGCTCTCGTTCGAAAGAGCAAAAGAAAGACATCAAAACAACAAAAGTGGTGGTGAGACTGAAGCAAAGGATGTCCAAAGAGCAGACGGAAAACCATCTTCAACGACAACAGGTCCTGTTAGCAATTAAACCAAATTGAAGATGTCGATGCGAAGGCTATTGATTCGGTGGAGCTGTCGATCCACTAACTAGTTGTTGATTTAGAAGAGAGATGAGTTAAATATAGTCTTTATTGTAGTGTTGTTTTCAAAGAGTTTGTTCATATTTCTATATATTGACTGTTCGTATTTCTAGGTCTAGTTAATCTTGTGTAAATTTCCAGAAATCTATCTCCTTGGAATACTAGAAATATTTAAAGAGTCATTAAGTGCAAGAGTCATGTAACAAGTTTATAAAAGGTGAGTCTTGTAAATGTTTCGCATGAGGTGAAATAAAGTGAACAAAAAGCCTATCCGTCTCCCCTTTCTTTCTTGAGTTGTGTGAGTTGTGAGTGTTTCCCCTTTAAATTATCCCATCAGGCCCAGGTATACTCCCCCCACCTTCATTTCACTGGCTATAATCTTTGCTTTGTCAGCCCATGCGGGATTCGAAGGAGAAAGAGGAAGACAAGGAGTTGGATCTGGGAGCCTGAGGCTCCACTACCGATCTCTTCTCTCTCATATCTGATGAAAGCAGGAGGAGGAGAGAAGAAGATGACAACGAGCAAGGAACTGAGGAAGGAATTTTCTTTATTCACTCAAGCGGCCAAGCCTCACTAGCATCTTCTATTTTAGGGTATCTCGGTTCCCCCGGTTCACTTCCCAATGTGATTTTCCTTGAAATTGGGAACTGGATCAAGACGCATTGGAACTTGGAATCGGACTGATGGGAACCGGTTCGGTTCTTCGGTTCCCAGTTCTACCTTGGAACCATGCTCACCCTTATGGCCAATAGGGATGAACATGGTTCTAGGGTGGGTTAGTTCTCACCCTATAATCGGAAACCGACCCTATACACTCTGGTATCGAAGGTGTTAATTTTTTATATGATTTTTGTTGTAAATACTTTGATATGGATTCTCCCTAGAAATCGGAAACCGGACCGATTCTTGTGGGAACTAACCACAACTAGCTGGTCCAGTGTGGTTCTCGAATTGGACTGGGACCGATGCACACCCCTAATTGTTCATTTCGAGATAGACATTGGTTTGTGAGTCATTGACCATATTAAACAAGATAACAGCTTTATAATTATAAGATGTCATCCTACCCAATTGAGATTAGCATAGATTTGGCCAATGGGAAGATTGACATGTGCGAGATTGACATTGGCCAATGTTGGCACAAAAATTTGACATATATGGCAAGGATGGATGGTATTGGAGAGGAGAATGAAAATTGGTACATTAGAATCGAATTGATATAGTGGCAAACCGGTTGGCATGAATACGAAAACTGTTTCAAGAATTTGATACCGGTGGTGTTAAAAAAGAATTAAACAAACGTGGTAAACAGTTCTTAGTACGCGTGGAATTGAGATCTTAGAGGGTCATTACTATAATGACACGTCTAAAAACGAAATCGGCTTACGGGGCCTGCGTCCAAAACTTGCAGAGTATGTCTAAAACTTGGGAAAAAGGTATTGCAGAACGTGGAAGTGAGATCATAAAGGCTAACGACAATATAGATAACGTTTTAAGCATGAATAAAAATATCCACAACCGTCTGGAGCTTGGGGAAAATGTCTTACAAAGCGTGGAAATGAGATCATAGAGGCTAACGGTTAAATAGAAAACGTTTTAGGCATGAATAAAGATATCCACACTCAGAAATCTAGAACTTGGGGAAAAGGTTTTACAGAAAGTGGAAGTGAGACCATAGAGGCTCACGGCTATATAGAAACCGTTGTAAGCATGAATAAAGATACCCACAGTCAACCAAATCGCAAGAGTTTGTGCTATGGGCTATTAATTCAGAGTCCCACGTGAGCTTATTTTATGATCCTTTTAAAGCTGTAAATTGTATGATTAATACTCGATAACACAAGGTCCATGTTTTTTTCATGTTTGCCAATCTTGAAGTTTGGCCTTGATTAGGCAATGAGTCTTTCTTCAAGGAGCTGGCATGCAGAATTTTGGGGAGTAACAATAATAATATCTCATTTTATTTGAAATTCCAGTTTCAGATATCGTTGAAGTGGCCGAGCATATATAGTGGGCCGTATCTCACAGCCATACACATCTATTTTTCAGTGTTCGATTCATTCGATGTGTATGGGCTAAACTGCTAGAAAGGGTCTGACAAAAATTATATTTTTCCTGTTGTTAAGACTTTCTCTTTAGAATTGGAATTTCACGGATCAAATTCTCTAAAGGTTCGACATCCCTAGATTAAATAGCTATTGTTCAGGGACTTTTTAC